TAGTAATGCTTAGCGGCGATCCCATGGGGAATAGGAGGCAGGCGATAAAGGATATTTTTAAGTCGGTACGGGTATGCCGGTTTTCACCAATCATGGCGGTTCGTGGTCAATCATAAGACCTGACCAAGTCCAACACTGCACTCATCTCGGACCCAAGTGCGAACGCAAGCAGTATTTTTCATACCTCTGATAAAAAAAGCAGCAACTGGGAGACGACGGCAAATGATAGGCCCTCATGGCTCCGAGTACTCCATGACGGACCACAAACTTCTGAAGAACACAACAATAAGAATAGAATAGAAGGTGATTTTACTCGGAGTCGAATGATCGCCTATGATGATGGAAAGTATTCTCACGACTCTGGCTTGCGTGACAGAAATCTTGGGTCCGTTTATTCCAAAATCAAAGTCCAATCAACACAGCAATAATTTATTCCACGTTACTATACACTCTGACCCTAATTACTTCAGCAACAACAACTCAACTCTTTACAACTCTTAACGATATTCACTATCTAAATCGTATTGATTTAGATAGTGATTAGATGATTTTGAAATAAAAAACACTTATTTGGATTGAGTTTTAAGTTGGCATTCCGGAAGCGGTCAAAAACTTCTTTCAGGTTATTGAGATGTTCTTGAAACGAATTTCCCATGATCATGACATCATCTAACTATACCAGGCAAGTTCTTCATGTAAGGCCTCGCAAAACAAGATACATCAGTCGCTCGAACGTAGCTGGAGCATTACGCAATCCGAAAGGCATTACGTTAAACTGGTATAACCCGCTTCCGGTACTGAAGGCAGTTTTCTCTTTGTCATCTTTGTGTATTGCCACTTGCCAGTCTTTACTTTTGAGATCCAAGGTAGAAAACCATTTGGAGCCCGATAGAGTTATTAATGTATCGTCTATTCTCGGGAGAGGGAAGCTGTCCTTCTTGGTGACGTCATTAAGCTTTCGGTAGTCCACACAAAATCTAAGACTTCCATTTAGATACTGGCATACGTCGAGGTAGTTGTCTAATTAGGTGTGCCAATCCAGTATCAATTTTATGTTGAATTAAACTGGTCTGTCCAGTTTGATTATCCATCACAAATACGTCTGCTTCTTTCAAGATGAAATCTGTGGCTTCTTGAAGTCTATCTGGATCGAGATGTTTCCACGATTTCGCCAGTCTGCATCAAGGTGTCAAGGTATCCAATTTCGATTTTTCAAAATGTCGCTTATCTGGTAGGTCACAGTTCGATATTTGCTTAACCGATTCGAGAGTTCCAATATTATCTCCTTCCTTTATTTTTACTGTTTCAGAAGAAACATTCGCAATTCTTATCATAATGTCTCCATTTGTTCTTTCTCTAGAGTCTTTCCAACGAGACATTTTTCTAATTTATCTCCAATAAAAGTATGTGTTAGTCCAACGCAGCACCCAGGGTTTGTTTTCAATTTTCCGCAAATGATCTTCTCAGTACTTCCAGGAATCCTCACTGGGTTTGTGGCCAGGATCTTAACGGCTTGGGATTCTTCCCGTGTAGTTAGGACAAATTCTTCATTACCAAATTTAAGGATGTTTATAGAAGGATCGAAAGAGAAACCATGTTGGCCGATCAAGTCCGTTCTCAAAATAAAATAATCTTCTATATCGGCGACTAATGTTCTGTGAGTGAAGTTGGTGGATCCAAAAGTAAGCTCAATCATAGCTTCTCCTTGAACTGGTGCTGATTCGCCCGTGACTGTTTGTAGTGAGAGGTTTCGACTGAGTGGTTGGATTGCCCGAGACTTGACTAATGTTTTTTTAATCATAGAAACTTCAGCACTCGTATCAAAAGTGATGGTTTCAAATTCTCCATTAATTTGTGTTTCGAATTTTAATCCTCTATAATGACTGCCCAATGATTTTATGTGAACAACCCTGGGGGCTTCGTCATTACTAGCCAGCAGCCGCCCCTCCGTACTAGTTGGTTCCTGTCTGTTATTAGGGCTGGCGACTGTAGATCTTGAAAAGCCTTGGGAACGATCCTAGATGGAGCGGACATCCTTATTCTACAATCCCATTGCATAGGTCCAAGCTTATGACACCGGTAACATTCTACTTGGTTTCTCGGTGTTGGTGTTTGTCTGGAGTTATTTCTCGTTTGTCTACCTTCTATTAGTAGTTGCTCCATTTTCTCCATGAACTTACTCATAACATTCTTGAAGCTACCATCTTCTTTTGACGATTGTTTATCCTTTGGGTCTTCAATTGACACTGCTCGTATTCTGGGTCGTGAGGCACCAAAGATAGCTTCCAGTTCTAACGCTCGAACAAAGACTTCGCTACTTTTTCTGAACTTAGACATTCTCAAGTTTTCCTGGATTTTGGAGTCTTTGATACCATCAATAAACGCAGATACTGTCATCCATTCCTGCATGTCTTCGCCAGCTGCAGGAAACGCCAAACTCACTAGCCTTTTAATTTCCGATTCGAATTCTTGTAAACTCTCGCCGGGTTTTTGAATTCTTGATTTAACTTGAGTTCTGAATACTTATTGCCTGTAATGGTCTCCGAAGCGCAATTCTAGCATCTGACTTAGATGCTGGTAATTCTGTTGGTAGATTGAAGAAGGAATGGACTGAAGAAGGTCTAAGGCAGGTCCTCGTAGCGCCACTATCAGTGCTCTAGCTTTTTCTTGGTCGTTCTATCCATTGGTATTTGCAGCAGCTTCAAATTGTCGGATATACTTACATGGTCCAAGATGAAGAACCATCAAAAGTTGGTGGTTTTATCTTCATACTAGAGAATGCTCCAACACAACCTGAATTGATGGACTGTATTTCTAATTTATGCACCTTATCTTCAAGTGCTTGAACTTGGTCCTCAACTTCTTATCTTAATTGCTGAACATCGGCTTTGACTTCAGCTTTTACTCCCTGAACGTCGTTTTTAACTTCTCGAACATCGTCTTTAACTTCTTGAACATTGTCTTTAACTTCTTGATCATCGTTTTTACCCTCCTGAACATCGTGTTTAACTTCGGCTTTTACTTCTTTAATCTTTTGTTCTAGGTTAGCGACAGATCCTTGTATGCTTTGGAATATTTTCCGCAGTTGTCCAATGTCTTTTTGCCTTTCTTGTTTTCGTTTGACCTCTTCTTGTTGTCGTCTAGATTCTTCTTGTTTTTCTTTTCGTCGCCTGACCACTTCGTCTTGTTTTTCTTGTTGTCGTTTAGCTTCTTCTTCTTGTTTTTCTTTTTGTCGTCTGGCCTCTCCGTCTTGTTTTTCTTGTTGTCGTTTGGTCTCCTAAAGTTCCAACATTTTGCGCAGAAGTTCTTCAACTTTTTGTTCTTCTATTTTTGCTCGTTGTCTCGTTATAAGCATATACAGAATGTTCTGGAATTTCTTTCAAACTCTCTTCAAATATCTTCCCTGGTCTTTGATTGAAGTTCCAAACACGTCGGTGAAGTCACAAATTAGATAACTTGCTTTATTCTCGAATAGAATTTTTTATTGCTTGAAATGTCTTTTCTGGATCTCAATTGATATAGTAAACACATCGGTGAAGTCACAAATTCGATATCTCCCTTGGTTTCCAAATATAATGTTCTAGAACTTTCCCGAAACTCCTCGAAATTATTTTTCTGAATGACGATTGATGTATCGAATACGTCGGCGAAGTCAGAAATTTGATATCTCCCTCCGTTTTCAAATAGAATTTTCTAGAACCTACTCGAAAATTCACTATCACAGTCAAAATCGGGCAAAGTCACTTCCGGGGTAATTTACACGATCGGTTAGGTCTCTTATGGTGATTGTCACTGCTTACACTGACTAACTGTCCCAGTGTTCAGTATAGTGTTCACACTTATGTCCGCGCACTATTCTGCAATAGGATTTCACTTTGTAGTCCTCGAATTATGTCTCAACTTTGGGCTTGCGTGGCAGAAATCTTGGGTCCATTTATTCCACAATCAAAGTCCAATAAACACAGCAATAATTTATTCCACGTTACTATACACTCTGAAAACAATTACTTCACTAATTAACTTAAACAACTTAACTCTTTACAACTCTTAACAATATTCACTATCTAAATCGTATAACAGCCAAACTTAAACTTAAAAATTACTAACTAATACCGGCCTTTATATATATCCCTGAATCTATTCATGTAAAATCCAGAATAAACACGATAATCCCATGCCCGAGAAAAAGCAGACTTTCTAGAATTTTGGCATGTATTCTGGATACTGTGGCGAAAGCGCATCGTAATTCGTAACAGTATATAACTTTTAACACCAGTGCTACTACATATCATAAATTGGCATTTCAGACACTGACAGCATGCGTCAAAAATTATACTTTTACTGACGTTTGTAAAAGACGAGAATTTTGAAAAGGATTTGCGTGCAGTCCATAGCGCGACGACTTTTCAACCATCAAAAATTTGCCATATAAAACAAAACGTGCTTTTGCTCGACATATCAGATTTTATTCTGCAGTGTTTGTGGGTCAAACAGCAAGGCTCATAATGAGGTCAGAAAAGTTTTATAACTATGGGCGACATAATCAAATTAAAAAAGTTTTGACTTTGCTCGATTTGATTTTCGATTCTGTTCTGCAGCTTTTGAAGCCCCGTAGTGGACCGGACCGTTGCACTCCTAGAAAGTCAGAAAAGTGAAATTCGCATTTCCGGGGTACAAATCACGGAATAAAAGGAAAACTTTGCACAAATTATCACAAAATGTAGTTCGCTGGCTGCCGTACCATACTGCTAGAACTCAAATCATTAGGATTTTGATAGAATCTAAAATAATACCAATTTTCATAGCATATTTACAAAACAATAAGAATTAGCAAAATTGCTGAAGAAGTAAATTTGTTTATTTCTATTGTTATCATTGTTGAAATAAGTGTTAATTTTATTGGAATACTAAGTATTGGCATCATCACAGTTGCACATATTATTGTAGTACAAAAATTGTTGAGCTATGCTATAACTAATTTTTAACATTTTATTTTTCAGCTTACATAAAAGCTTCTGCAGCCCTATGTGTAATTACCCTTTTGACTGATCTTGTAGCCACCGTCCTAACTGGGTTGGGGCTGCGAACAAAGGACCATCACACAAAGTTCAAATATTATAGATTCGCAGTGATAGTTATGGGTATTGCTTGTAAGTATTTTATTTTCCACTCTTTATGTACGTATTAAGTACATAAATTTTTATCTTATTTGAAGTTTATAGTTTGAATAGCACATTTGCCTGAAACAAACACAATACTTGACCCAATTTTATAACCTGACGCATCACGCGTTCATTTTCTAAAGAAGGAAGTTTTTAGAACTCCTACAGAAAACTGATTTTTAATTACAAGATACATTTTTGTCGGAAGTTGAAAAAGGCTGGGCAAAAATGCCGAGTACGAAATTGTTTATTCACTTTTCACAGGATGGAACAAAAGCCAAAAGTGCCTTATTTCTTATTTCTGAAAAGTCTCTATTTTATTAGTAACTTTTTTTGCATCTCATAGTGCTAATGTTCAAAGTCATACTATTATTTTGTTTACTTGGTGCAAGATTCAGCCCAGCCTTTCTGAACTTCTACTTTTAGATAATTACCCGGAATATACTGAGAGAGACAAGCTGTTTGAAGTGTCAGGCTTTTTAGTTAGAACCTTCTCAAATGAAATGTTTTGATGCACTAATAAACAAGCTTTCATGTATGTTGGTCTTAATGCCTTTGTTATATTTAAGTTAAAGTTTATACCGGCAAGAGCTAAATTTAGAAGCATGTACTTGCAAGCGATTATAGACAAAGTTGGAACATTTTTATTTACAAAGAGCGTAGGTACTTATTTCTAAATTGAACAAAAAGTTGAAGTATTCTTTTCTTATTACAGTTGCATCAATCCTGATCGCCCTTATCATCTATCCTGTATGTTTCGCAGCAGAATTGAATTTAGGTAAGTCATTCTTTATTACATAAAAGATACAAGGTGACTGAACAGCTGTGATTTTCAAATTTGCCCTGTGGTAAGACTAAGGAAACAGAATTCTTTAAAGGGGCACAAGTAAGGTAAAGAAAAGACGCAGATGGGAGACATTTGCTTCATGTGGCAATCAATTATCGTGATAAATGGTTGATTTGCTAACATTTTTCTCATTCATGATAATCAGTTATAATAGTCCTGGAGCCCTTGTAAGAAAATTGCAACGATTTCGGGTAACTTTGTTATATGTATTTTTATTCGATTTCACCCACATTGTGCAGATACCTTTGGGATGGCAGCATTGGCAGCTGGCTAGGTGTCGGTGGGGGTATTTGCTAAGGGGTTGTAAACATATCAAAAAAATCGTGACGGGAATCACTCAGCTGGGGTCACAAACGCTTCCGAACGTAGACGAGCTGTTAGCTGCTGCGCACGACCTTTAATGCATCAGCTTATAATTTTTCCGCCAAAATACGAGCAGCTGATACTTTTTTTCGTGAATCATACATAAAATATCAGTTCACAATTAAATTGCAAGTTTCCCGCAATCATCGTTGATGATTTATCATGACAATAATGCATGGGGCAATCTCGACTCAACAATTTCAGTTCTACATATTCGGAAATTCATTTAACAATGGATAATTATTATTTAGTGCTCCATTAGTAGTAGTAAATGTAATTTTATTAGGCAAATATATATAAATATACATACACACACCCAAAAGGCCATCGACCGAAGTCCTTCAGCCTAAAAAGTAAATTTGCACTTGTTTGGTTCACATTCAAAAGAATTACTGGTTAGAAGAAAAGGAGATTTGGATAAATAGTGTGGATATAAAAAAAAGAAAAAAAAATATATATATACATTATAGTTAGCTAAATAAATATGACAATATGATGTGCTCCATTATATATAGTTAATTACCTCATAAGATTATAGTTAATTACCTATTTTATTTCACTATGCAAAATCATATTATTTATTAATTATTAGTAATCATTAGAGTTTTCAATCTCATGTTCGACAGGTAAAAGATCGTCATCAGGTTATTCATCGACATCTGGAAAAATAAGTACCTAATTGATTCTATAAAAATTATTAATGTTTTATGATATGAAATATTTGAATAATTTAAATAATACCTTCAGTATTGTCGGCGTCGGAGTGATCATTTCCATAGTCGAGGGTAATTGGTTGCCATTAAACCATTTGCAGGTTTATCTACCTTCCACTAGTTACCATGCATAATCCAGTGGGTCCAATGTTGACGAAACTTGCTTGTGCGCATTGCTCCAAATCCTCGATATGTAGATGGTCCTCAATAATTGCTGTTTTAATTCAGAAGATGGTGGCAAGAGGGATGCGTGAAATTTCTTATCGGGCAATGTAAATTCCTTGTTATCTTTTCCTAGTTTATATACTTTCATGAAGGTCGCAACTCGTGCATCATTAACTTTTTTTTATTGTCTTGAAGCCATACATACAATTTGACACTTCACCTGCAGCCTTTACTTTTATAGGGTAGATGAAAGGTGTAAATACAAAAGTTGTGCAGTTTTAGCTAAATTTTCAGAATCCATCGTCATAAAGAAATATTTATTGTCAGAAATTTGAAATTTTGCGTACTTTCAACTTTTTTCAAATGGAATGCTTTGTATTTGATCCTATATTCTTGAACAGCACAATTTTCCGATTCCAAAAATATATATGTAGATTGTCTATATTTGAGTTGAGCGGTCTCCAACATATTTGGCTCTAAAAATGTTGAGAATACTATCAGAGAAACCAAGTGCCCCAAATTTGACCTGAAGCTGTCACCTTGACAGGTAGAATGATTCACAAAATCTAGTCAGTATAGAATCGTATTTTCACAATTTTTAGAGCCAAATAATATGTTGGAGATGTTAAATATATCTGTTTTTTGAAGTAAGTAAGTAAGATCAAGAAACTTCTGATATTAATTTCAATTGAGGTGTGTACCTCAAACATACAGACATTTATTGTATAAAACCAGTCAATAAATTTAGTCATAATTTTATTGTGCAATGTGATTCCTATTTCAATTTTTCGCGAGCATAATCAAACACTGATTATGTTCAGATGTTATGTGTCAATTATACTCCCCTAACTCCCTCACCATCCAATTCCTGGCCTGCGAGTGACGTCACTACCAGCAGCGTATAGTGATGACGTCATCTGCAGGCCGCGATGGAATGCAGATTCAGGCAGGCTGTGCTAGTTAGTGAGTTAATTTTTTCGATGATTTTAAATGCATAGAAGGTTATTTTCGGTTTGTTCTCACAGAAGAAGTTTTAAGTGTTCTTGATCCTCGAGTATCCCAGAATTTGATAGTGGGGGAGTTAGGGGAGTAATGGGGGAGTATGGCACAATTGATACATAACATCTGAGCATAATCGAGTATGCTTGGTTATCCTCGCGAAAAATTGCCTATCATTTGTAGCGACTTTCAATTTCAATAGCGTTTTCATAAGTGATCATCAGTGACGTGACACACGAGACACGATGTCAGATGTCATTAGTTTTTAGATTTTCTTGCGGAATGAGAAACATTTTTATTTTTTATTTTAAATAAAATATATATCTACATATTTGTAGCATTACAAACAAATTGTAGAAAAATCGTGGGATCAGTAGACTCATTTGAAAATCCGTAGATCTACCGATAAATCGGTAGAGGTGGCAGCGCTGATCTGAAAAAAAGAAAGATAGAAAGAGAAAGCAATACATTTCTGTCATAATGCTACAGTGTGTATAAACAAACATAGATGTCACCATATGGCCTAAACTAAATTAAACAGTGAACTTTTGGTATACATTTACAACACTCCCACTTAACAAAAGTTCACAAACGCCAAAATAAACAAAAGAAAAAACACTCGAAAAAACATTAGGCACAACTTAAACCTAAACATTTTACAAACTTGGAATTCTTCACAATTTGCAAAGGCTTGGTCAAGATATCAGCTACCATTTCATCAGTTGGCAAATATTTCAAGTTAATCTTATTATGCAAACTAACCCCTAAACAGTGTTTAGCCTCTCCAAGGTTTTTGATTTAGAACTTAAATGACCCTCAAGAAAATTGATTTCTTTGGAATCAGCTGAAAAAAACAAAAAAGTCATCTACATATAATGCGACTATTGTTAACATATTTTTATCATTTTTCTTTATGTATAAGTGTCTTTCCTTCGATACTAGCGGACTGTATTTTCTTGTTTGGGGGTTTCTTGCAAGTAAAAAACACACTAACTCAATTTACTTTAACTTTTAATGAACATTGATAATAGTAATTGGGTAATTTACTCGCGATCTCTACAACAAATAGGTAAAACAGAAAAAATGCGAAGAATAATAATAATGGCGGCGCTCGAAGCTTGTCTTGCCGTTCGTTCTTCTCCTCTCATAATCGGCCGCTCCGATCGTCTTGTCCTTGGCTACCGGTGCGACGTCTCTCGGCAATAATCGTTAGCGAATACTGCTGCCTTTTTGATTGGCTGCAAGAAAGAAGGTCGCGTTCCGCGCGTAATATTGTCTATTTGAATTTGAAACGGCGCACAAGCTGTTGTTATTGAAATTATGTCCTTTTGAGTCTTAGTTTACACAACATGCCCCCCGCCTTGAAGCACTGCACTTATTTAGCTTCAACAAAGAAACAGTAATAATTAGTCAATCGGAAGAGGGCAAATTTTTGAAAACCCGCGCTTGATTACACCATTTACCGTTCTGATGTTAGCTACGCGATTAACATTGTCTTTCCCTGGAAACACTGACACAATTCTACCCATTCTCCAATTCATAGGCGGTGTATTGTCCTCCTTGATCAGCACCAAACTACCCATTTTAATGTCATATTGTGTCTGCTTCCATTTGAGACGTTGCTGAAGTTCACTAATATACTCTTTATTCCAACGTTCCCAGAAATTTTGTTTTACCTTTTGTATACGTTGATAAGTAGACAGTCTGTTTTCGGGTATTTGCGTCACATTGGGATCTGGAAGTCCAATCAGGCTTTTACCAATCAGAAAGTGGGCAGGAGTTAAGGGAGTGTAGTCATTGGGATCGGTTGAAAGTGGTGTTATTGGGCGGGAATTTAAAATAGATTCGATTTGCGTCATTAGAGTAGTTAACTCTTCAAATGTAAAATGCGCGTTACCAGAAACTCTCTTTAAGTGATGTTTTGCTGATTTCACGCCTGCTTCCCACAGACCTCCGAAATGAGGTGAACTAACCGGAATAAAATGCCATTGTATTTGCTCTTTGAGGTACAAATCCTCAAGGCACCTTTGTTCATTTAATAAATATTGACCTAGTTCCTTCAGTTCCCTGTTTGCCCTAACAAAATTGGAACCATTATCACTATAAATGTGGCTAGGTTTACCACGCCTAGACACGAATCTCCTTAGCGCTAAGATAAAGGCTTCACCACTCAGATCTGTCACTACCTCGAGATGCAACGCCTTTGAGGCAAAACAAACAAAAAACACTTACATAACATTTCAACAACCTTGAGTTACGCCCTTTTTTGTCCCTATAGAAAAGTGGCCCCATGTAATCAACTCCTACAATTTCAAAAGTTTGACCAGCTACCAATCGATTTTGTGGTAAATCTCCCATTATAGGCCTTATCTCTTGTGGGTTGAAGCGGAAGCATCTTAAGCATTTTCTAACGACAGCCTTAGCCAAATTTCTGCCTGATACTGGCCAGTATTTTTCTCTTACAGAAGCCAATAATAATTGAGGCCCTGCATGCATTAAGCGTTTGTGTTCCTCTTCAAAAAATAATAAAGCCAAAGGATGTTTCGATGGTAATATCATGGGATGCCTTTTATCAAAATTATAATTGGAGTGTCTTAACCTACCACCAACTCTCATTATCCCATGTTCATCCATAAAGGGATTCAAACTTAAAAGATTACTCTTGAGGCTCAGAGGCTGGCCATTGGACAA